TCTGTTATTATATTCCTTACTTCCACGCACCTTTCCACCCCCCCCCCCCCTCTCTCTCTCTCTCTACCACTTCTGGCTTTAGTGTTCCCTTCTCTCCGGCGATTTGTACTCACCGCTCCTTTAAATATTCAGACATTTATGTACGCACTTTAGTTTTTATAGCCTGTGTTTAAGATGATGATGATGGAGATATTGCCGATATTGTCCAAACCACACCAATACGTAACTTATTGTGAACACTTTGTTGCTGTGGCGTCATCACCCATTTATTTTTTTCTCAAAAATACTATGTTCCTGATGAAGCCTTATTGGCGAAACGTTGAACTGTGAAATATATTTTTGTTTTGGAAATACAACAAGGTCTTAACTGTTTTAGTACCTTCTTTATACAATGATGATGATGATGATGATGATGATGATGATGATGATGATGATGATGATGATTAACAATACATTCTATAGGGCCAACTATAATTATACTGGTGGCTCGAAAGATGCTCCGCAGTGGCTAAGTGAGCAGTGAATTCAGACTTAAGTATGTCAAGCAAGACTTAGTGTCGGTGACACTGGAGTATGACCTCGGGCAAGACACAACATCCCTAGCTCAAAACACAGCCTAGGGCGCTGCATGGAGGCGACCGGCAATGGCATGGTTGTAAATTGTTGTGTACTGGTGTAATATTTGTATTTATGTACATGTATGTATTTATGTAGCCTATATGTATTTGTGCAGGTATTTACGTATGTGTATTCACAATAATGTAAGTACATGTAATTATGTATTTATATTTGTGTGTATTATTTATATTATCCATAAATGTAAGAAATAAATTCAAGTCTTTGAAAACATTACTAAATCGGAAGAACTATGGAGGAAAACGAAAGACTCAATAATAGAAGCTGTGGAGGAAAATATCCCCCCGAAAGCTAAAAAAGCTAATAAAAAATGGATGACCCAGGACATTGTAAAACTAATGGAAGAGAGAAGAAAGGCAAAATCAAAAGTGGAAAAGTACACCATCTTAATCAGGGAAATAAAGAAGAAATGCAAGGAAGCAAAAGAAACATGGATAAATGATCAGTGTCAACAAATAGAGAAGAACCAAAACAAGGACAGCAAATTCATGCATTCCAAAATCAAAGAAGTAAGTGGGATAAAAGGATGCTCAAATACAGGATGCATAAGATCAAAGGGAGGGGATATTTTAATGGACAACGGGAATGTCTTAAACAGATGGTCAGAATACATAGAAGAACTTTTCAAAGATAATAGAGGAGAAAAACCGGTAATAAAGAATGAAATAAGGACCACCAACACTGAAAGCAGAAGTACAAGCTGCCATTAAGAAAATGAAACAAGGAAAAGCCACAGGACCAGATAATATTCCAGTTGAAGTGATTGTCGCACTTGAAGAACTAGGCACTGAAATAACCACAAAGCTCCTAAATGCTATTTATGACAGCGGTGAGATCCAAGAAGATATGATGAAGTCAGTTTTTTATAGCTTTACCTAAAACACCAGACGCAACTGATTGTGATATGCATAGTACAATTAGCCTTATGAGTCATTTTACAAAAATATTGCTGGAGTAATAATGAGAAGATTGAGAAAAAGTGTAAGACCAGAGATATCTAAAACGCAATTCGGCTTTGTTCCTGACAAGGGCACCAGAAATGCTATATTCACCTTACCAATGTTAATGGAAAGAAGTATTGAAGCACATAAAGATCTGTATTTATGCTTCATAGATTATTCAAAGGCGTTTGATAAAGTTAGACACGATGAGCTGTTTAAAATACTGGAAAAGCTAGACATAGATGGAAAAGCTCTAAGAATTATCAGAAATTTGTACTGGGACCAAAACGCTGCTGTACGAATTAATGGAGAATACAGTGAATATAAGAGGATCAGGCGAGGAGTGAGGCAAGGATGTGTTATGTCACCAGATCTCTTTAACATGTACAGTGAAACAATCCTTACAAACATAGAAGAATGTCCAGGCCTCAAAGTAAATGGAGAAAATTTTAATAACATCAGGTATGCAGATGACACAGTTTTAATAGCAGGCTCCGAAAAGGACCTTCAATTGATTCTAGATACTGTTGTAACAGAAAGTAAACGTAAAGGATTACTGTTGAATGTAAAGAAAACAGTATGCATGGTAATATCCAAAAAAGCAGCAAACCCTAGTTGTAATCTCATTAGCAAAGGTGAAAAGATCAAACAAGTCCAACAGTTTAAATATTTCGGATATATGATAACATCTGACGCCAAATGTTCCACAGAAATAAAAAGGAGAATTACAATGGCTAAGGCTAGTTTCTATAAAATGAGCCCAATCCTGAAAAATAAAAACACCTCAATGAACACCAAAATGAAAGTCCTGAAATGCTATGTTTGGCCAACCCTTCTATATGACTGTGAATGCTGGACAATCACTAAAGACAGTGAAAATAAAAAAGAAGCAACAGAAATGTGGTTTCTTAGGAGACTGCTAAGAGTATCGTGGAAGGAAAAGAAATCAAATGAGGTAGTGCTTGATGAAGCCCACGTGGGACGCTCAATGTTAAAAACAATCAGGAAACGACAAATGCAGTTTTTTTGGACACATAAGTACACATATGGGTCTTGAACGTCTAGCTCTCACTGGCAAAAATAAGGGCAAGCGAGGCAGGGGTAGGCCCAGAACAACATACTTAGGGAACCTAAACAAATGGGTAACAGGAAAAGATCAGGGAAACGTAGCTTCTTTGAGAGCATCCGAGCAAAGGAATGAATGGAAAACCATGATCGCCGATGTCTGTCGCAGATCTGGCACTGGATGATGATGATGATGATTTATATTATATGTACGGGCCAGTCTAGGGAGACTAGACTGTTCTAAGGTAGCCCACAGGGAATCAAATGTAACTGAATGATAGCGTTGTATATGTTCTCTTATAATATTATATTATATTATTATAGTTTGTTTTTTTTTAAACGCCTCGCAACTTGTATTCAAATCTTTTCAGTTTACTTATAAATTGTGTTGGTATGTTTATAAGGAGTGGGTCGCAATTACTCAATACCGGTTCAAGATAATACAAATGGTGGCATCAGGGTATGTTCCACTAAGTAGAGACTTTAAAAAAGCGATCTTGTATGGGAGCATTTACATAAAAAAAGATCCAAAACGCACTGTGAGATCTTTTCTCATGTACCCCAGAAATTAATTGAGGGATATAAATTCGAAGGTAAAAAGACATACTTCACAAAATGCCTTCTTTTTTTTTTTTACAGATAGTCCTTGAAAACTGAAAAGTGTTCCATAACTCTTGTGTTCATAAAGGGATGTCATCGTTTGTGCTGTTGTATAATTTCCTGCTTATGTCTTAGCGTTAATATATTTTTTTTCTTTTCTTTTTTTGCGAGTGTTTTACGGCGCTCGCAACTGCACAGGGTTATATGAGTGCGCGGGCCACATTAAACATTTTGAGTTGGTAGGAATCTGAAGAACTTATAGTCCTAAGCACGTTTATTCAAACACATAAATGTAGGTTGTGTTAAGATGAATGTGTAAATAAAGCGCCAAGATAAGAGCTGTTACACGCTGTGCGGGATGGTTGAGAGAAAGTTGAAAATAGTGTATCTGTTAAAAAACAACAATTTAGATTAAAACAAAATAATTTGTATAAGCTATACCCGCAGTTGTAACAGGTTAAATTAACATTAGCCACGGTCGAACTCATCTCACTCGGTATACGTAAATAGACAGAAAGAGAAAAAAAAGAGAGAGAGAGA